AGCCAGCACCCACAGAAACACCCTGAAGTGAAAGGGCAGCTTTGCCCTGCTGCCCAGGGAGAGGGCAGGCAGACAGCCATGCCCACACTCGCTGTCTGGGCTGGGACAGCTGGCCAGGACTGTGCTGAGCCACGGGGAGAGGAGCCAGAGGTACAGAGGAAGCTCCAGGAGAGGAGCAAACCCACCAGCCCTGCCTGCTGCCTGCACCCACTGCAGCCAGACCCAGAGAGCAGAGAGCAGCCCACAGCCTGTCAGCAGAGAGCAGCCCACAGCTGGGAGAGGGGCACGGGGCCCAGGGCACAGGGCCAGCAGCTGGGCAGGGCCCCCCAGACACCCCAAACACAGCAGGGACCGCAGCAGAGTGGGAAGGACAAGCACTGCTCACCCCCACTGCTGCCCAGGGCTCCTGCCTGGGCACCCACCCTGTGCCACATGGAGAACACCAGCCCACAGCTGGGAGCAGGACAGGGAGACTCCTGGACAGGGCTCCCTTAATGCAGCTGGTGTAACTGGGACCGGCCTGCCAGCCCAGGGCACTCCAAGTGCAGCCCAGCCTCTCCCTGCTGGCTAAAATCACAGAATATCTTCAGCTGGAAGGGATCCACAGAGATCATCAAGTCCAACTCGTGGCCTTGCCCACCCCAGGGCTGTCCTCTGCCCAGCTCTGTGTGCAGGGGGTGCTCATCCTGCCGGGGGTGTCCAGGGGAACGGGATAAAGAGGCAGCCCCCAAAACCCTCCCACCTGTGCAGCTTTTACTGACAGCATCCAGCCTGTCCCCACTCCAGCCCCTCCTCCTTCCAGCTCCAGCACAGCTGCTCCCAGGGCTCAGACCTGTCCCAGGAAACACTCTCACTTCACACAGGTGCCTTTCCTTCCCAAACATCCCTTCCCTCGCTTCCTTTCTGCCCTTCTGTGGCAAATGATCCCAGCCTGCCCAGACCTTTGGGATCCTCAGTGGTGTTCGGCTGTCCCACACCGCATGGCAGTGTCCCCATGGCAGTGTCCCCANCCCGGCTGCATGCAGGCACAGCACAGCCCCAGCCACAGCCCATGGCATTGCACAGAGCCGGTCCAGAGCCCACCCTGCAGGTCCCCAGCCTGGGGACAGGTTTTCCTTCTCCAGGTGCCCCATCCTGGAGCTCAGCCCTGTTTCCACACTGCTGCCAACCCAAACAGGAGCACCGAGGCTGCCAGAGCAGATGGATGGCAGGAGAGCAGCACAGATGGAAAACCCTAGAAGCCATCAGGTGATGGAGCTGCAGCCCCTCAGCCCCTCACAGGGACAGCAGAGACCTTCCTGTGCCTCTGCCCACAAGCAGGGTCACAACTCATGCTAAAGGCTCTCCCAAACTGCACAGCATGGAGGCTGCATGTCTGGCAGCCCTTTGCCATTATTGAGCCTTGGCCATGAATTGTTTCAGCATCTTTATATAAAATGCTGCATTTTAATAACTGCCTTCTTCCTAGAAAACAATTAGAATAAATCAAGGGGGAAAAAAAGTCTGATCTTTCCTAAATCAACAGCTATGGAAAATATTTCCCCCAAGGAGAGAGAACTTGCCACAACTTCAACCACAGCAAGACCTCAGCTGTCGTTTTTTTTCTTTATGACAATATTTGGCATTAAAACTCTCAAACACACCAGTCTTACTCCCTCTTCTGTTCCAAACCCCCTCCCTTGCAGGCCTTAGCTGGGTCCCCTTGACAGAATCCTGGCCATCCACCACTGTGATCCCCAGCTAGAGAGGTGGACTACCAACAAAAAGCCCAACTGCTCAGGGCTGAGAACCTCCAAAATCCAGCCTGTCCCCACCACCATGCTGCTTCCAGCATTCAATTCTTATTGGGGAAGAGTGCATGGAGATGGGGACACACAGTCACTGTGACAGCAGGCACTGTCACAGAGCTGGGACACGCTCTGGCTCCGAAGCAGTTCATTGGGTTCAGTCCCTCCCTTTTTGTCCCTTTGGGCAGTGTCTGTGCCCTGATGCCACAGCAGGGCACAGGCTGGGCAAGCTGCTGCTGTCCAGGAAGCCTCAGTGGGAGCAGGTGCCACTTTCCTAGTGCTGGAATTCCTGCAAGGGAGGCACAGGGCTTCCTGCTCCCCCGGATCCCTGACTGCCATGCACAGCTCCATCTCCCCAGGCCATTGGAGCAGCCAGGGGGGCACAAAGAAACACCGGGGGGGTGGCCAGTGGCTGTGGCAGAGGCCTGGGCCAGAGGGGCCAGATCAGCATCACAGACTGAACCCCACAGCCAGAGCATGGGGTGTCCCACGGCTCCCCCCAGCAGGCAGAGGGAGCCCCAGGGGTTGCTGCTGCAGCCCCTCAGGCTGGCACTGGGGATGCCTTGGGGCTGGGACCCCTGCACAGCGGNTGTCCCCGCGGTGCTGTGGCCCAGCCCCGTGCTGGCTGGGCACAGGGGCCGGGCTCTACCTGAGGCCTCCTCGTCGAAGCAGGCGAAGGCGTTGCGGATCACGTCCTCGGGGTCGGTGCCATTCAGCTTCTCGCCGAACATGGTGAGGAACATGGTGAAGTTGATGGGCCCTGGCGCCTCGCTCATCATCCCCTCCAGGTACTCGTCAGTGGGGTTCTTCCCTGAGGACACAGGCAGGGCTGGATGCAGGGCCCTGCTCCCCAGCTCCCATGCAAACAGCTGGAATGGCTTTTATCCATTGCAGATTGATCTGCTGGCTCCTGTTCCCCCACCCCACGAACAGGGGAAGGGAGATTCTGCCCAGTGCTGCCCCCTCAGCACCTCTCCTGGTGCTTTCATCTACACCTGAGAACAAGTTCTGCCTTGGGGGAAGTGCAGTAATAATTTGGGGTTACTGGGATGAAACCCGTGGCTATTCCCACCCCCTGGCAGCTCCGAGGAGAGGGGCAGCAGGGTCCTCACACCAGCCCCGTGCTGCTGATGTCCCCAGCACTGCTCCCCCGTGGGTGCAGAGGGGAGGGTTCAGCTGCTCTGCTGAGGTCCTGCCCCCAGCGCTGGCCCCTCTCTGCTCCCAGAGCTCCCTGGAGGAGGGAGATCCCTCCCGTGGTCAGGCAGGACCCCCAGAACAGGTTTGGCTGCCAGGTCAATCATTGACAGACCTCCCAAAGCGCACTGGAGGTACCCTGGGGGGTGGGAGGAGGGAGCCATGGTCTGCAGCAAAGGAGAATGGCTCGGGGCAGGGAGAGGGTACAGAGCTGCAAGTCCCAGCCAGCCCAGCACGGGGACCTGCCTTTGTCCTCCCAGCTGAGAGCAATGGGAGGGCTTTGTTCCACATGGGGACAGCCCCAGTGACATGCTGGGGTGAGACTGCTCAAACACTCCATGGCTGCAGCTGGTCATTGCTCCCAGGGCAGAGCTTCTCCAGCTCCAAGGGTCTCTTCCCTTCTGGTGAGTGCACCTGTGAGCAGCACACAGAGCTGCTGCCCTCAGACACCTCACAAACACCTCTTCTGTCAGCTGGTGGGGCAGAGAAATCCCACCCTGGGCTCTGAGGAATCTCAGCACAGGCAGTGTGGGCACGAGGTCACCCTGCAGCTCTCCCTGCCCCTGAGCTGGTGCCGGGGGCAGAGGGACCTGCAGGGGCACAGGGCACAGTGTTGTCCTCACCCATGGAAGCCAGCATGTCGTGCAGATCCTCCTTGTCAATGAAGCCATCTCTGTTCTGGTCGATCATGTTGAAAGCCTCCTTGAACTCCTGGATCTGGGACTGGTCGAACATGGCGAAGACGTTGGAGGTGGCGCGCTGGGGGCGCTTCTTGGTGGTCTTGGCCTTGGCACGTTTGCTGGACATCTTGGTGGCTGGGGGAGTACCTGGGGGCAGGAGCATCAGGAGGGCTGGGGACAGGCTGAGCCAGGGGGCCACAGCAGGGACACACTGCCCCTGGAACCTCCAGTGCTGTGCCTCAGTTTCCCTAGCTGTCACACACTTGGGCAACACGGGGAAATGAGACAGACACGGGGTCAGACGTGGGGATGGGCAGAACTTGAGCTCTGATGAGTCACAGAGCAGGCAGTGCTCACTGCAGTTCCCCAGGACCGTCCCCCAGGGCTGCAGCCCCCAAACCCCCTCACTGCCTGTCCTCTCTGCATATCTGGGCACAGAAGAGACACCTGGCCCAGCACCCGCCTTGGTGCCAGTCCTGGGGCCATGGGCATGGAGGTTTCAGCACTTCAGTCACTGTGGCCATGCCTCACCACCTGCCCCTGCTCTGACAGGCTCTCCAGGCCCAGCACATAATCTGCTCCAGGCACATTCCTCACACACCACTGCTTCCCATGTCCCTTTCTCTGTCCATCCATCCATCTATCTGTCCATAATCCATCCATCCATCCATCCATCATCCATCCATCCATCATCCATCCATCCATCCCTCCCACCTCTTGCTGCTGCCCTCCCTGTCCTGTGGGACACACTGGGACAGGCTGGGATGGTCCTGTGGGACACTGTGGGACAGTCCTGTGGGACAGACTGGCCCAAGGCCAGTCCAGGGAAGGGACAGTGCTCTGAGCCCTCGTGTTTGTGCTGCAGCCATTCCTCACTCACACACAGCCCTGCCTCTCCTCCTGGCCAGCGTCTGGCTTGGGCAGCAGCTGCTGGGGCAATAGCAAATGAATGGATCATGAAGGGGTTCCACGGTGGAAGAGCAGAGAATCACTCCTGTGCTCTGTGTGCCCCATGCCGGGTGGGCAGCAGGACCTGGGCTCCCCATCAGTGCCCAGGGATGGAGCAGTTCAGGAGCCACATCCTCTCATGGGGACACAGCCCAGGCAGTGCAGCAGGGCTGGACACCCTGAGAGGGCTGCCCTGGGACGTGCTCTGGGAGCTGCTTCCCAGCTGGGTCCTTAGTGCTGACCCAGGGGGACCACGGGGACCTGGGGAACGTCTTCTGGTGCTGGCATGGACCAGAGCAGAGCAAACAGCCTCCAGAGAGCCTCCCCCTGCCCTCCCCACACCACACCCACTCTCCAGGTCTCCCCTTCCTGCTGTCACTCCTTCAAGGGGTAGCAGGGGTAAGGGGTCCCTGGGACAGGGAACCACCAGGTTCCCACAGCTGGGCTGTGCTGGAAGGACATTCCAAGGGCATCAGGCAGTGCCAAATCACAGCTCAACACACCACAGTGACCAGCCAGGCCCGGAGGGGGCTGGGCACTCCTCCCACATCCTGACAAGGCTCCCATCCCACTGTGGAAGCACCCACAGAACCCAGGCAGGGCCCTTCATCTGCAGGCCCTTCATCATACCCCATGTCCCCAGGGGCCCTCCCTCATCCCCCCTATGCTCCCCATTCCAGGGTGGAATCCACACCTCCCTCAGCCCCTCCCTTGTGCTGGCCTCACACCTGACAGCCGCCACCAAACCCTCCCACATCCCTGAACTCTCCCTCCTTCCCCAGGGCCCAGCAGGGAAGAGATGTTTGTCACCAGCCAGCCAAGGGGGCAGCAGGACTGGGAGCCCACCGTGGCTGAGCAGAGACCTCATCCCCCGGGCCATCTCTGCCTGCTGCTTCCTCCAGCACCACAGAGCTCTTTGCAGGAGCCCCTCTCCGCGTGCCCTGCCAGGCACCACCAAGCACCAGGGACACCCCCAAGTGGCACCAGGGACACCCCCAGGTGGCACCAGGGACACCCCCAGGTGGAAAGGGCCGGTGACGTCCCATGGCAGCAACATGGGAAGCTCAGTTCAACACCACAACACCACCAGGCAGAGTCAGAGCCAGAAATAAAAGCTCTGCTGCTGGCCCATGGCGCTGGGCTCAGCTTTCAAAACACATCCAATTATTAGCAGAATTATTAGCAGAAGACTATAGAAATAAGCAGGAGTTTTGCTCTCACCACATGAATTAACATTATCCAAATATTTACCCTGCCCTGACTGTGACCAGCAGCACAGCTTGGCACCATCTCCACAGAGTCAGTGCTCTTCAGCAGGATGAAGTACAATTTTGACAGTGCATGGATCTGCAGTTTGATCCAAAATGTGCCCTGGAAAGATGCTCAGTCCCAAGGTCCAGCTCAGTCATTCTGTCTGTGCTGTTTGACAGCTGCCTTGGGCTGGCTGGGACTTGGGAAGAGATTTTTGGGTCAGTGTGGGGAGAGGTTCCTGTGCATGGATTCTGTGCAAGGACCTGCAGCCAGAGCTGATTCAGCTGGAGCAGTCCCTGCTCTGCACAAGGGCTTGATGGCCACGCTCCCCTGGTAGCCACTCTTTGTGGGATTCCCAAAAACCCAGGAGCTCCAGGAGCACTGCAGGGAATGCCTGGCCATGATGCCCTGCAAGCTGGGCTGGCCTCAGCTCAGACCAATGGTGCAGCCCCCAAAGCTCCAGCGTCCCCTCAGCAGGAGGGACACACAGGGACACAGGTCCTGCTCCCGTCCCAGCACTGCCCCAGCCCAGAACTGTGGATCCTGGGCAGCAGAGCCAGGAGGTCAGTGCTGGGTGACAGCCACACACTGACCTGGTCCCCAGCTCACCCTGTCACAGCTGCCCTTGTTCCCTTGTCCCTCTGCCACTGCTCCTGCCAAAACAATTTCCCAGTCTCCTGCAGTGGAGGCAAAATGATCTCCTGCCAGGCTTGTGCCTCCCCACATGAGAGCCAGGCCCAAGGGACCATGGGCTGACCTAAAGAGCTCATAAATTAGTAAATAGTTTAGTTTGAAAGAGGAAAGGACCCACAGTTATCAGAAATATAAACTGCCATGTGTTTCCTCCTTGGTAAAAACCAAGCAAGCAACCCCATCCTGGTGCTGCTTCCTGGCTGTGCTGGGGAGGGTGGGACAAGCCAAAGGGACACCAAAGGCAGTGCCACCAGGGCAGGCAGCCTGTCCCAGCCCCACCCTTCCCTCCTGCCTGCTTCCAGCCTCCCCTGCAGCTCCTGCCGTGCTGCCTGTCCTGGCCAGAGCTCACGCTGAGCTGAGGGCGCTGTGACAGCCGGGGGGGCACAAAGGAGGAGAGACAGGCAGGGGACAGGGCAGAGGTGGCAGCAGCCTGTCCCCAGTCCCGGGGGCGTTCACACGGATCCTGAAGCTCTGATCTCCCAGGATATGCTGCTGAGGGTTTCCCAGGGGGGCTGCTCAGAAGCTGCTCCAGCAGGAGCCACCTCTGGACGTGCTGAGGGGGCTGCAGTGGGACTGCCCTGCTGTCCCTGTCACAGCCGGCAGGGACATCTGCTCCAGGGCCATCTGCTCCAGCAGCTCCTCCCCAGGATCCTGGCACCATGTGCCCAAAGCTGGATGCTTTGGGTCAGGGAGACAAAAAGCGATTCCAGCAGCCTGGGCTGTCCCAAGGGACATTCCTGCAGGGCAAACATCGGCTCCTCAGGGGGGACTGTGCCCCAACCTCTGCCCAGGGCCCAGGGACATTCCTGCAGGGCAAACATCGGCTCCTCAGAGGGGACTGTGCTCAAACCTCTGCCCAGGGCCGCTCCCCGAGGAGAGCTGTGAGTACCAGCGAGCCTTGAGCAGCCACGTTCACTGTGGGCAAGCACCGGCCCCAGCACGTGCAGCCCCCTAGCAGGTCAGCAGCTCCCACCCTGCTCCAGGGTGGCACAGGGCTGGCAGGGTGAGCTGGTGCCCTGTGCATGCCCCTGGCACAGGAGGGGGAACATCGGGGTGAGCTGGTGCCCTGTGCATGCCCCTGGCACAGGATAGGGAGCATCCTGAACATCTTTCCACCCTAAAGCTTTGCCAGCCGCAGGCACCTCTCGCAGCCCCGGGGCTGCTCACCGGGGGAGGGAGCAGGGAGCAGCTCATCTTCCCTGCTTTTTTTGTTGTTAAACCAGCCCTTTCCGACAGCACAGCCCTGCACAGGATGCCGTGGGATGTGGCATTGCTCAGCTTCACCAAGGAGGGGTTTTGGTGCTGGGGGAGCCCCACTGCCAGCCAGAGGCAGTGGGAGCTGCAGGAGGACTCCTCAGCCCACTGGCCACTGCAGGAATGCAGGCAGCTGCCATTCTGCTCCTTTTATGGCCTTATCAGAGATGTGGGAAAGGGAGCCTGGAGGTGAGAGGAAAGCAGACCCTGAGCCCTGGGCTGTGTCTGCAGCCCAGCCACTGCCACCAGCACTGATGCCAGGGAGGAAGGGCCAGGGCAGCATCAGTCAGAGCAAAGTGTGCAGCGAGCCCCGGGGAGCCGAGCTCATCCCCAGCTCCCACCGCACTCTGGGGACATGGCCAGGCCCACGCACAGCTGTGGGGCTCAGCTGCAAGTTCAGCAGATGGTTCTGCACTCGTTGCTTCCCACCAAGGGCAGGAGACAAGGAGCTCACCGTGTGACACACACACACACACACACACACACACACACACACACCCCTCCAAAGCTCAGATCCTGCAGCCCCCAGGAGAAGCCCTGGCACAGACACCTCGGTGTGCAGAGCACCCAGCCCCTTCCCATGCCCGGGAAAGGCACCACAGGCACAAGGTCCCCGTGGCCTCGGGCAGCCAGCAGGACTGTCCTGGCCGGCGTTTGCTGTGTTCCCAGGGGAATTAAGGGGCTCACCTCGGCGGGGGAATGTGGCCGCAGCGCCTCGGAGGGGGGAGGTGGCCGCAAACTCCTCCTACAACCTCACAGAGCCTGCCAGGGAGAGAGGAAAAAAATTCCAGCGATTGAAGGAACCCAACCATCTTTGGTCAGCAGCAGCGGTTGTTAACACTTGGGGATGTTCCACTCCAAAGAATTCAGCTCCGGCCGCCCCCTTCTCCTACACATCCATGTTTTAGAGCTTGCCTGGCTTTTATCACAGTCGAAACATTTTGTACCAAAAGGGCATGCTGGGAGGGAAGCCAAGAGGGCTTCAAGTTTTCATGGGAAAGACTAAACAAAACACAACATCCCTCTGCGCTTAAGGCTGAAGGAAATGAGCTAAATAAAGCTTTTCTGCCTTAAAGAAGTTTATTGCCTGAAGTGGCTCCCAGGCCACTGGGGAGATATCTGGAGCATCATGCATGCATCCGGATCTTGGCCCTGGTCACCAGCAAAACCACTTGGAGGAAAAGCAGATGTTTCAGACTGGAACAGTCTCAGAGATCAGGAGGTGGGTGAAGGCACGGGCAGGGATCTGCTCCTGCGGCTCTGCCACCCCGGGGAAGCCGGGCTATCCCAGCTCCAAGGCACTGNCACCCGGGGACACCCACGCAGGGGTGCCCCACAAGGCGCTGCACAAGTTCCTTCCCCTGGCTGAATGCTGCAGCTGGCCCCAGGGGTTACCGGTGCCTGTGGGCAGGGGACAGGGACAAGGACAGGAGCTGCAGGGGCAGGTGTGGGTGACAATCCTGGGGACCTCAGAGCACCTTGAAGTTCCACCAGTGCCTCGTTTTGTCTTTACCAGATGGGAAATCAGAAGCCCAGCACATCACTGCTCCCGTGACACAGGAAGGTGTTTCCAAGCAAAGGTGGTGACTGAGAAGGAACCAAGTGGAGCCCTTGCTGTGCCATGGCCATCAGGCTGGCCAGGGTCTCTGGAAGCCTTTCTGCTCTCCCTGTGCCTCTCCCTGACCACAGCAGAGCCCAAGGTCACCTTTGGAGTTTTGGAGACCAAATTGCTCCGTTTATGAGCTGCTGGTCCAGGGTGTGAGGAGCATGAGATCCCCCCAGCCCAGCTGTGTGTCCCTGTGCCCTGTGGGGCTGGGCGGCATTGTCACCTCTGCCAGGTGCTCCGTGGAGCCCAAGGGGATGGGTCCATCAGGGATCCCCCAGAGCAGCGCCTTCATCGGTGGGAAGAAGAGAGAGGAGCTGCTCTGAGCCATGATGCCACATCCCAGTGCCTGAGATGGACAAAGTGCCACCATGGGAACCCTGCCCTGCAGCCAGCCCAGAGTCCCTGTCCTGGGGGGCGTCTCCTGGGGATGTCCCTTCTGGGATGTCCCTCTCTTGTCTTGGGCACAGCGTGGGCACCCCCAGGGCCTGTGTGCTGCTGGGGCACAGCCCCAAACCTCACCCCTGCCCCACCTCTCCCCACCAACCCCGGCCTTGATGTCACCTGCCCCAGGGGCAGCTCTCCCCTCCCAGGCTCCACCACCTGTGCTGCAGCTCCCCTCCCTCCCCTCTTTGCTGCTTGCAGACTAAAAGATGGGAATCCCTTCATGTGTTGGAAAAAGCTACAAAATCCCTTCTTTCCTGGGCTATTCTTGCTCTGGGAAAAGCAGGATATGTGGTGCAATAAGGGATTAAATGGCAAAAGAAAAAGGAGAACTCCTTAAATCACTTATTTTGTTGCTCCTAAATCTTCCATGACCTGAGTGGAACTGTGTCGGGACCCGGTCCCCGAGCTCAGCCCCCCCGGGCTGGGCCGTGAGCCACCCCCGGCTCCCTCCATCTGTCTGTGCTCCCTGTGGAACAATTTGGGAAAATCCCATCGGGTGCCTGATGGGAGGAGCCCGAGTCCCTGGGCAAGCCCAGCCTGGCATCCCGAGAGCCCCCGGCTGATGGGGACTGAGGAGCCTCGGGGATGAGGGGCCAGGGAAGGGGCTGAGGAGCATCTCCCTGCCCTTCCCACTCCGAGCTTGTCGTGCTGAGCCTGCCCGGGCCCATTGACATGATAATACTGCTAAACTTCAGCAATTTGAACAACAATCGGCCAACGAGAGCCTGAGGGGGAATCCTGGAAACCCAGAGGGATTCTGGGAGGCCCAGGGTGATGCTGGAAATCCCGGGGAAGCTGGAACTCCCAGGGGAAGCTGGAACTCCCAAGGGCATGTTTGGCACCCCAGGGGGATGCTGGAATCCCCAGCCAGACTCCCAGGTATGGGCACTTCCCAGAACAGACTCTCTCCATCCTCTGCCCACTCTCTGATCTTCAATCTGCATTTTTAGCAAGGCAAATTGGATTTGTGGTTGGCTGTGCTGGCTGTTTGCTGCCACCCTGCCCCTGGGGCCACTGCTCCAGCAGCAGGCCCTGCTCCCTGCTCAGGCCACTGGACCTGCTGCAGGCTGGGATCCCCCAGCAGGAAAAACCCCTGGTCCTGAGAGCTGGGATGCAGCTGGAGCCCCTGTCCTGGGCACTGCAGTCCCTGCATCTCCTCTGCCCCTTCCCACGGGAAGCTCTGCTCTGGTTCCTTCCTGAAGGCCGTAGGGCAGAACAGACCCTCTCAGCAGGCACTGCTGTACCCTCTTCCTCTCTGAGGTTCCTCTAATTCACATCTCTGGACATGGCACGAGGAGTGTGGGGACACCAGGAGCTCAGAGCACTGCTGAGAGCACTGAGAAAAGCAAACACTGGGGTCAGGGGGTCCTGGGCCGCCCTGGGAGTGCCACAGAGCAGGCCCAGAGCTGGGCTGCCCAGGACGGGACACAGGGACAGACTGGACAGAGTCCAGCACAGGGCCATGAAGCTGATGGAGGGACTGCAGCGTCTCTGCCATGAGGAGAGGCTGAGAGAGCTGGCACTGCCCAGCCTGGAGCAGAGCAGGCTCAGGGCATCTCATCCCTGGGCATGAAAAGCCAGGGGGAGGCTGCAGAGGGGACAGGGCCAGGGACAGCCCGGGGGCCTCGGGCACAAAGTGACCCAGAGGAGGGGCCCTCCGAGCTCAGGAGACACTGCTGCACTGGGAGCAGCTCTGCAGCTCTTCTAGACTGGCCAAAAGGTTCACCTAACTTGGTGTCCCCCTGCCCCAAGTGAACACTTCTGAAAAGAATGGCTTTATATTGCTGCTATTTGATACCTTTGAAACCAGTCAGGTCAGGTCCTGCTGCTGCCTCTGCTGTTTGTGATGCAGCCCAAGGACAGGGGACTTCCTGGGCTGCCAGTGCCCATGGCCAGGTCACATCCAGTTTGTCACCAGCAGCACCCCCAAGTCCTTGTCCCAGGGCTGCTCCCCACGCAGCCATTCCCAGCCTGTGCTGTGCTGGGGCTGCCCCAGGTGCAGGACCTGCCCTTGGCCTGGCTGAGCTCCATGAGGTTCACGTGACCCCAGACAGTTTTGGAGTTTCACAGATGCATCAAATCCCAGAATGGTTTGGGTTGGAGGGGATATTAAAGCCCATCTCATTCCTCCCCCTGCTAATACCTTCCCTATCCCAGGGTGCTCCAAGCCCTGCCCAGCCTGGCCTTGAACACTTCCAGGGGTGGGGCAGCCACAGCTGCTCTGGGAAACCTGTGCCAGTGGAGTAAGTTTATTTACTCTTCCCATAAATACCTCAGTGTCCAATAACAAATTTGTTCTGCTTTGCTGCCTCAGGGCTGAAGTCCCACGGTGCCACCACAGCCCCAGCAGTGGAGAGGCAGCTCAGACCCAGCAGGTTTGGCAGCTGCTTGGGGCAGCAGCTCTGACAGCCCCAGGCTGAGCTGTGGCACTCCCAGCTGGAGCAGCAGCGAGTCCCTGAGTCCATCCCTCTCTGGCACTGCCAGGAGCTGGGCTGCTCTCACAGGGATCCCTGGGCTCAGAGGGGCTCAGCAGCACTGCCACATGCAGCTGCCCTGGCAGCCCCTCTGCCCCCAGCTCATGCCCCAGAGGGATGTCTGTGCATCTTCTCTCTGCTGGGTGTCACAGTGAAGGTTTTATAAATCATCCAGGCCTCCAGAAGCCTTCAGGCCTGGGATTTCTCTCTGGCTGTGGGAGAATTGTAGGTTTTCCCTGGCACAGCAGTGAATTAAGGAACAAGCTTGGTACCCATGAGGCTGGAGGTGCTGGTTTGGGGCTGCTGCTGCAGAGCACAAGCCCTGACCTGGGGAACTCCCTGGAGATCACAGGTCACCCTTTCACATCTGATAATTTACTTCCTTTTTCCTCGTCTTGGTAGTGCCTGCAAAATAGGAGCACTGAGACCAAGGAGAAGATTCTCATCCATGGATCATCTCCCAGGTGAGAGAGTATCAGGGGCCTGGAGTGTCTCTGGTGCCTCTGAGCCCAGCAGATGCCCATGGTGCTCCTACAGACCCTACCCAAGCCTTCCCAGCACTGGTGGCACCTCTGCCATGCACTATGCCCTCACCAGGCTTTGTGGGTCTGTCCTGCCATTTTAAATAAAGAATTGCTGGAAACTCGTGCCTCCCTCCAGGGCAGCCTTCAAGCAGCATTTTAAGACCACATTTCACAAGGTGGGAGCACCCCATGCTCCCACACCCCTGTCAGGGAGGGGACAAATAACCAAACCAAGGGGACAAATAACCAAACCAAGGGGACAAAGCTCCTCCCCATTTCTCATCCTCTGTGTCTCTTGCTCCCCCACCTGTGCAGGGTGACACAGAAGGGTGGCCCAGCCCCTGGGACCCTGGGCCAGCTGATATGGGCAGCATGGCTGGCACTGCCCATCCTGACACAGGGCTGAGCAGAACGACCTTCAGCCCACCAGCTAAGGCAGAAAATGATGTTCAAGCTGATTTTGCATCATTTGAGAGCAATTTGGCTTCAGAACCAGGCTGCCCCATTGCCAGGGGCCCTGGGTGACGAGGGCAGCAGGCTGAGGAGCTGCAGTGCCCAAAGCCACCTTCCCAAAGCCCTGGGCACAGCACGGGGGCACGGGGCAGCACACACAGCACACGTCTGTCACACCCATCAGCCTTTATACACCCTCCAGCTTCCTGAATCCCCCAGATCTCAGGCTCTAAAGCCATAAAGCAGCCAGGGAGGAGGGACAAAGT